AAACCATCTCCAAGCCATAGTAATATGGCATATATTCCTAATAATTGTGATGTTATCAGATACTTACACACCAAGCTGGCTCCTCATTTGAACATGAGTAGGGAAATTTATTTTAAAAACTATTTTTTAGTAATCTAGATAAGTCTTGTCCCAAACAAATAGTGTGACTGGAAGGGCAATGAGAAGCAGTCCTTGATTCACGTATAAACATAGAGCTGGAAACTGGATCCATTTGCTGTGGCAGCCAAAGTCTGGGTCTGGTTGAGAAGCAGGTGACCCCCTCATCCTTCTTGCTATATGTAGAGATGGTGGGGGATAGAATTTTTGTTTTTTTTTTTTTGTAAACCTTGTTAAATTGTTGGTTTAACTAAATTGCTTATTTAGTAAGATGCTCCTGTTTTGATTAAGATTAACTGTAATGAGGCATTAAACTCTATCAGTTTATAGCAACATTAATTTTTCCAAACATGGGAGATTAACAGAAATGTGAGTAGGTTACTTTACCAAAGGCCCATTATAGTTAGGCAAAAAAGGCCTCTAGTGAAAGAGTAAAGATGATAACTTTGACAGCCCAATATATAAAGTGGTATTTGTTCTGGGCCATCCCAATCTGGGAGACCTGTGCCCTAACTATATATTAGACCAGTCTTGCCATTATACCTTCATCAAGGGACTCTGAGAAGATTTCAAGAGATAAAGCAATAGAACAGGGAGCCAGGAAAAGATACATAACCATGTGAAACATAAAATATGCAATTTACCTACAGATGTGCTTCTTGCTTGTAGTACTGCTATATTTGTGTTTACAAGCATAAACATGCTGGTAAATTCTATTTTGCACAATTTCCATCAGAAAAGGAAAGAAATACATGGTACATTATGTATTTACGTATTTTTGTTGTATGTCCTATATTCCTAACAGGAGAGGACTTCTTTTTGAATAAGCATTGACGAGAAACAAATCTTGTACTTGCAATTTTACACATTCAGTGACTAGAATAATTTTCTTTTTTCTGTTTCTTTCTTTTTTTTTTTTTTTTTTGAGACAGGGTCTAGCTCTGTTGCCCAGGCTGGAGTGCAGTGGTGTAATCTCTGCTAACTGCAGCCTTGACCTCTAGCTCAAGTGATCCTCTACGTCAGCCTTCCAAGTAGCTGGGACCACAGGCACATGCCATCATGCCCTGCTAATTTTTTGTATATATGTATTTTTTGTTTTGAGATGGACTCTTGCTCTGTCACCCATGCCAGAGTGCAGTGATGCCTGGTCTTGGACTCCTGACCTCAGATGATCCACCCACCTCAGCCTTCCAAAGTGCTAGGATTACAGGCATGAGCCACTATGCCTGGCCTTGATGTGATTTTTCAAACAAGGTGAAAAACAGGATACCCTCTCTTTTATGTATACTTACCACTGCTTTTTTATTAACTACAGCTGATCCTTGTAAAACAGGGGTTTGAACTATGCAGGTCCACTTATGCATGGATTTTCTTCTGATTCTGCCACTCCTGAGATAGCAAGACCAACCTCTTCTCTTTGTTCTCTTCAGCCTACTGAATGTGGAGACAAGAAGAATGAAAACCTTTATGAAGATCCACTTAATGAATAGTAAATAAATTTTGTATTCCTTATGATTCTCTTAATAACTTACTTTACTGTAAGTAAATAATTGAATCATGGAGGCAGTTTCCCCGATACTGTCCTCTTGGTAGTGAATAAGTCTCATGAGATCTGATGCTTTTATAAGGGGTTTCCCTTTTTGCTTGGCTCTCATTTTCCCTTCTCTGCTGCCATATAAGATGTGACTTTCACCTTCTGCCATGATTGTGAGGCCTCCCCAGCCACGTGGAACTGTGAGTCCACTAAGCCTCCTTCCTTTAGAAATTACCCAGTCTCAGGTATATCTTTATTAGTAGCATGAGAACAGACTAATAACAGTTTCAAAATGTAATTATTATAACATATATATCTTATCATAGTACTTTCAACTTAAATCTATGCTAATAATATGAAATATTTGAAAACAATATCTTGTATTAAAATTTAACAAGGTGTCTGTTTCCTAGGTCTATGCTTCAATATTGTACAGAGTCTATGAAAGTTAGCTTACAATCTCCTGTTACTGGTTTGCAATTGATTTTGAAGACATTTGCAGTAAGCATTTTGAAACCATCCTCAGCTATATGTGTAGTAGGAATGCTGCCATAATTTAGATTATTTTCAAACAAGTGGGTGAGAAAGTCTTAGCTGGATCCCAGATCTTTTTATTACAACTGATTAAATCATACATTATCCTCAAGTCCAATTAAGTTGTTTTTTTTTTTTTCTGTTTATGTGAGAGGCACCATACTGAAATCAATTAACTTTTCTTGAAAATGCTGGCAAAGATATTACACATCTGTTTAAAACCACTCAATCTGGTATTGTAAAATGTTAATGGATCTTTAAACCTAATCATCACAGCATCCAAATGAGAGCAATCTATTTCTGAGTCAGTATCTTTTAACCTACCCTTATGTTAAATAGATTATGTGGCAAAGCTGAAAACTATAAAAATTCTCATTGAGCAAGTGCAATGGATTGAATGTTTATGTGCCCCTAAAATTTAAATGTTAAAATCTTAACACCCCTGGTGATGGTATTAGGAGGTGGGTCCTTTGGGAGTGATTAGACCATGAGGGCAGAGCCCTCATGAATGTGATTAGTGCCCTTATAAAAGAGCCTCCAGGGAGATTCTTCACCCCTTCTGCCATGAGGGGACACAGCAAAAAGGCAACTGTCTATGAATCTGGAATAGGGCCCTAACCAGACACAGAATCTGCTAGCCTCTTGATCTTGGACTTCCCACTCTCTAGAACAGTGAAAAATAAATATTTGTTGTTTTTACGAGTTGCCTAGTCTGTGGTATTCTGTTCTAGTAGCCTGAAAAGACTAATCCGGCAGGCTTATTTAAAAAATATTATATCTGTTGATTAAGTCATGAGAATTCCCTATACTATAATGAGATTAAGGTCCTTTCCTTAAAATGTAAGAAGGACCTCATTTGCACTGTATCTCTACCTTTGCACTGGAGAGACAGGACTCTGCCCTCCTTAGCATTAGTTGTGGGAGAAAACCTGACATCTGCTACCTCCTTATGTGAAGAAATATAAAGTATAAGCAACACATGTGATTCTTGCCAAAAATTTTTGATGTGAACCTAATGAAGCCTATAGAGCTCATTTTGTATTTATAGGGAAGAGAGGGAGGAATAAGTTAAATGGCACTGTGAAGAGACAGAAAAATCTAGAATGTGGGAATTCTAAAGGACAACCAGCTTAGCAGAAAAAGGTGAATTTTAAAAAAATTATATTAAAAAATAGGGTCAAGAAATTTTCTAGCTTAAAACAGAGTCATGATGCACAAATGTAATAAAAGGTATTTTGGGGACAGTTGGAGACACTTGAAAATGAACTATTAGATGACATTAAATAGTGATTCTGAATTTTGTTTTACTCATGATACAAAAGCATTTAATAAATGACACATCAGTATAGAAAAACACATCACTTGTAGCTTGTCTTTTAAAAGCAAGATAGCCAAGTGAAAAGTCAGTACAGATTCTTATTTTTATTTAAAAAAATCAAAGGAACATGTTGAGAATTGAGCTGCTATGATTTTCTTTTTTTCAGAGATGACATACATGTTCTCTGATAAGTAATATTCTACCACACACTCGCACTAAACCAAAGCAGACAGATGACTAGTAAGAATGTTTACATCTCTTCCTCCTGCTGAGCTAGATCGGCAGTGGAACATTGTCTCCATGGGAGAGATTTTGACAGGAAGAAATAGCAGAGTCCCTACCTAACCCTGAGAACCCAGGAAACTTGTTTATAGAGAAAGGATTTTCAGTAAACATGCAAACACACCAACATGCTATAAGTACAGGATACTTTTTAGTGTATTTCTAGCATACAGCATGCATTCATAGGTGCCCAGCAAAATAGGAATGAATGCCAGTGTAGGAAGCATTTTTGCCTTCATGACATTCACTAAAAAGCACATGGCATATAATACTTTAATCAAGTGGGTAATCATGGAAGGTAATCATGGAACTTCCAAAATCATATCCACTAGGTTAGCCTGAGAATTCATCTATACAAATATTTGTCAAAAATAACACTTCAAATAGACTTCTGAAAATAGCGGGACTACATCAGGACTGGCAGAAGACATAGTCATACAAGGACTGCAAATGTTAAGACCAGGAGTTGTTTTTCACATGTAGCTTTTAGGCCAAGGACATCTCTTTCAGCTGATTCCTCCAGCCAGGACAGGCTGTGATCACAGGAGATTCAAAAATCTCAAGATGGACAGCAGGCTGGAGTAACACCCCAGATAAATATAAAAAAACCCAGTAAGGCTAAAGAACTGAAACTCTGACCCATGTCAAAAAAGAGATGCAAATGCACAAAAAATGTATACAAAGCCTGCTGGGATAAAGAGAGATCATGATGGTGAGTTTTGATACACAAACATGAATACTGGGGTGAGGAAGGGTGGAATGCTTGACATGGGCTTGCTCCTAAGGTGTCTGAGTCAGAAGCACCTGAGAGAGGTACCTACTTGGGGAAGAGAGGAGTATTAGGGTTAATGAATACAAGAAGGTGTTTTGGCTAGGAGCGGTGGCTCATACCTGTAATCCTAGCACTTTGTGAGGCCGAAGCAGGAGGCTCACTTGAGGTCAGGAGTTCAAAACCAGCCTGGCCAACATGGTGAAACCCCATCTCTACTAAAACTACCACAGAATTAGCTGGGTGTGGTGGTCTGTGCCTGTAATCCCAGATACTTGGGAGGCTAAGGCAGGAGAATCGCTTGAACCGGGGAGGCGGAGGTTGCACTGAGCCAAGATTGGGCCACTGCAGTCCAGCCTGGGTGACTGAGTGAGCCTTTGTCTCAAAAAAAAAAAAAAGATGTTTCAGGATAAATAGGTCCAGGAGGGTTTGGTCATTTTGGTTTTTACCCACCATCAATGCTTAACGCGAATGAAGGGTTGCAGAACAGAATCAGTTTTTCTGGGATACATTCTCCTGTCATCATGAGCTGAGCTTATTGGCCTACTGAGCCAGTGACATCGAGAATGATCCCATTCATTGTCTGGAGGTAGGACCTAGTACCGCAGATTATTCTGGGAAGCTGACATAGAAGATGATTTGCACAATGAAGTCTCCACTAAACCACAGCTTAAGTCCAGTTCCTGGCCTTCTTTTTCTGCTCTGTAGCCCAGAAACATTTCTTTAAAAGCCAGAAAATCTGTAAATGTGAGCAGCTTTTGGAGGATGTCACCAATCACTTCATGTTTGTGACACTGTAATGTTGTGAAAGCTGCCATGTTAAAGCTAAGAATTTGCTCTTGCAACTGTTCTTCTATGTACTTTTCTGCCAAAGAAATATATTCATTAAAAATAAGTGTATAGGTAAGTTTATTCTCTTCAGTGTCCTCAAACTCCTGGTAGTAGTTTTCCATGAAATTTCTCTATAATAACTAGAAGTCTTCATCCATGATAATGTCTTCTAAATATCCAATCACAGCATCAGAGGAGAAGGTCACTGTGAAGCTTTCTTCTAAGGTGTCCATGGTTGGTGCCACCGCACCCACCCAAGTGAGCTGGCCCTTTGGATCCCTACGGTATCTAAGGCACAGAGGACAGCTGGGGGAAGACTTGTCGCCCAGGATGCAGCCCACTCCTGAATTTTTTAAGGTATAGTAATAACACTGTGGTTATGTAAGAGAATATCCTTATGTTTAGGAGATTCATGATTAAGAACTCAGAGGTGAAATAGCATGGTCACTGTATTTTACTTTGAAATGTTTTAGCTAAATATACAAACATGTAGGAAGTAATTACAGCAAAATACTTGCAATTGCTGAATGTAGGTGGCAGGCATATGGATGTTCCTTGCCCTAATCCAAGGGTGTCCAATCTTTTGGCTTCCCTGGGCCTCTTTGGAAGAAAAACTGCCTTGGGCCACACACAAAATACACTAACATTAACTATAGCTGATAAGCTAAAAAGAAAATCACAAAAAAACTCATAATATTTTAAGAAAGTTTATGAACTTGTGTTGGGCCGCATTCAAAGGCATACTGCTCCACATGTGGCCCATGGACTGTGGATTGGACAAGCTTGCCCTAATTTTTCAATTTTTCTCTATATTTGAAAATAAATATATTGATATACAAAATATAAATTAAAAATTATAATTTGAATAAAGAAGACCTTTTCAAATATGCTTTAAAGCTATACCTCATCAATCTGCAGTATTTCCAATTATATATATGTTTTTTATTGATCATGTTAAAGATCCATAAAGGCCTATAATATGAGCCAAACCTTTTAAAAATATTTGCTTGGTAAACCATCTTCTTTGGACATGACATTCAAACACTTCATTGACATTTGCAAGATTATGAATAATCTGTTAGTAAAGGGATTATTTTTAAACATTCATTGATGATTATCTCCTTCTCTGAAACTTGGTAATTAAGTTGTTGATGAATAATAAAATGACTTGTTAAAACACCCGGTACCTCTTTTAAAGTTGGCTCTAAACTTACATTATTGGTGCTCCTTCTGTTAAATAAGCAATGATGCTGGAAAAGGAAATTTTTTCCCTTTAATTAATTTTAGGGTTTCAAATATTGACAATTTTTTGTATTCATTGTTAGTAATTTTGAAATTAATCTTTTCTACATAATTTTTCTGTCCTTGCACACTTTATAGACACAAATATTAAAGTCTTATATTTATACTGGTTACTTTTGCCCAGTCATAATCAAGAATATTTGCCTTATGCAACTGATTTCAATATCTTTTACCATCTTCTTAAAGCAGTATTACAATGGGATAGAGAAATTATTTGGTTTGGATTTGTTTTTAGCCTCTTTGTACTAATCTCTTATATAGCTTATAAGACTAATCTTCTTAGAATATTGTATGATGTACCATATTGTATGATATTTTATGTTGTTCTGTAAGAACCAATGAGACCCACTTCCTTTTGCAGAGAATGTTCTTGAATATTCCAGTTACAGTATTACAATTTTTAGTTTTCCTTAAATATCAGAAATATATATACATATCTTTGCCAGTGTGATCAACATGTTCCTTTGTAAAATGTTCACTTACTCTTCATGGGTTCATTGGCTTAATTAGAAAAAAGTGTGTTGGCGGAATGGACATATTGGTGACTGTTCATTTGTGCATAAAAGCTGTAAAACCCAATTTAATATATTTGACTGAATATTTGCCCACATTTAAAATTTATATTTGACATTTTGAGATAAGAGCTAAATGAGGAAACCTGTACATCTACTTACAGTCACCATGAATGCCTCATCGACAAATGCAGATGGATACATGAGTGTCGTGTTGGTGACTCAAATACCACTCTCAGTAGTACCTATAGTGATGTGATTTTTGAAATGAGAAACAACTCCTGATAAAGTTCTGAACATGAACCAAGTACATTCTTTCCTCAGTTTATGGTAGTTATATTCCTGTGAAATTCAATATATAACACCATGCAAA